AATGGGTTTCCTCAGGAGAGTGGCTGGCGTCTCCCTTAGGGATAGGGTGAGAAGCTCAGCCATTCGCGAGGAGCTCGGAGTAGAGCCGCTGCTCCTTTCCTTTCAGGCACGGCCAGCTGGGAAGAGGCCCCGGGGAAGACCCAGGACTAGGTGGAGAGATTATATCTCTGCACTGGCCTGGGAACGCCTTGGGATCCCCCAGTCAGAGCTGGTAGATGTGGCCCGGGAAAGGGAAGTTTGGGGTCCCCTGCTGGAGCTGTTGCCCCCGCGACCCGACCCCGGATAAGCGGTTGAAGATGGATGGATGGATGGAAAAAGCAGCAATGGTCCATATTCCAAAACAAGATGGTGAAACGGTTGTATCCATTTTGCCATCAAATGGCAACAGTTCACTGATGGAGTCTGTTTTTGAGAGCCGGGGCTTTGTTTGACAGTGTCTTGCCGTCCAGCTCCATCACAACCTTCTGGAGCACTTCGAACGAGTACTTAAGTTCAGGAGGGTAGTTGAGGTTCAAGGCATACATTAGGCAAAACAACATGGCAGCATAGTGATATAACTGATCATGTATCGGTATACATGTTAGAAGCCCTGTTAGCGGCACAGCTTATTATAAGCACGATTTGGGCTACATCCGCCATTGCACAGAATTGTCAACAAAGCAGTTAGCGGCGCACATTCTGACGTCAAACACAGCGGATAAAGGCGTACACTCTGACGTCGCAAGGCAAAAAAACGGTTATACTGTCCACACAACACTGCAACCGTCGTTTCTGAAAATGCTCACCCTGGCCGGAGTTTTCAAAAATGTTCGGTTTCTGTGCCCTGAAACTGCCTTTTCGTGTGGACTGAAGGCCGAACCGCGTAAAAAAAGTCACTGTTATAAAAATACCCGTGTTCGTGTGGACAGGGCCCAAGTCAATGACGCGCGAAAAACTCCCATGCTGGTATAACCGAGCAGTTTAACATTACCTTTTTCTCAGCTTTAGTTTAGAAAACATGAGCAAGTTGCCCTCACTAGCATAACGCGAGTAGAAACATTAGCTAACCTTTGCATTGCTCATTTTTGCTAGTCATTTAAAAATCTCTGCTCGACGAAAATAATGCCTCGAACAGGACTATCTTTAGCATAACGTTAGCTAACGCTAGCGAGTAGCAACATTAGCATTACCATTGACTATCCATGTAGCGAGTGGTAACGTTAGCTAACTTTGACTGACATTGACTAATTCCTGCTCGATGTTATACTGGCAGATAAAAACCTCAGTTTAGTCAAAATTGTGCGACTAACGGGACTACGTCTGTCTTTGACTAATAAATGATACAGTGTTATTAACTTTACCGTGTGAAAAGCTGTCCAGACTTTTATGGTCCAGACGGATGAATTCCTCCGACTGGATTGAAGAAATGGCGCACAAAGTTTTCCCTTAAAAAACCTGCTCCTAATGGGCGGAGTTTCCAGATGAAACATAACAACTTCCTTTCTTTATAACATGACTGAAACATAAAAATTAAACATCCCTGAAGATTACAAGAATTCTACACGATTTACATATGTTTAGAGGAGGAACATAAATCAATTGTGTTATGTATACGAACTGTTCATTTGTTAAGTGAACAACCCCCATTTCCCCCTTTTTTCAGTGTAGGGGATGGGCAAAGGTTTTTAGTATTTAGAATAATAAGAAAATGCTTGAACAGAGATAATAGTCCAAAAGGATGTGAGTCAATGTAACGGACCTCTGATATTCTGACCCGTTTCCTTCCAAACTAGTACCGTACCAAAGGTTGTCCACCAGATGGCTCTATATGGAAGGTATCAAACCTTCAAAACAATGAAAGTCTACTGCATGTGCAGCTTTATCGGCCACACCAAATATTAAAAGGATGCAGAGCACAAGGGGGTGTATTTGCCAACAAGTAAAAGCATAAAGTAACTATTTCCTTTGTTTTCTCTGAACGTCATGAATACGTGGGTAGGATACGTGAAACAAATGGTTAATGGTTTAATAATTATTTTAAGTATTTTGTACCATTTTTGTAGCTTCGTCCCGGTCCTTCGTATAAACCTTGCACCCATCCACTCAGCCTCCTAGTTATTCAAGTCCCTATAAAATATGTACGGTTTTACTTTGATTTTATTATTTAATCAACTTCATCAGTCAGTAGATTTTGACTGTGGTCAATTAATAAACAGTAGATACATATGTATGTATGTGTTCATACATATTTGCCTCTTTGATTTAAGACCTGCCATTAAAATGATGACATGTCTTTAAACAACACATGGTAGTTTAAAGTTGTGTCTGTTATGATTATTTTGACATTGTTGTCTGTGTTTACATTAATCACAAAGCAGCAAGATGATTTGTTGCTTTCACTTATTAGTGTGAAAACAGAGCCAAAGACAGGCGCTAAATCATGAACTGATGAGCTGTGATTTCGGTGGATTTCTGTGAAAACTGTTGGAAGCAAGACTTACATTCAAGGTCGCATCAGGTCAGTATTGCTCTTTGCATCATCTGAGACGTGCGTGTGTCTATTGGCTCGGCTGTATCTCGTGCTCTGATCTGATGTGGTTCTGGTTTGATCTGACAGGGATCTACAAATAAAGGTTGACTGACGTCAGCAGCGGATCCAGTCACTAGAAAGACAGCATCTCCTCCTCCCAGCTGTGCTTGTGAAGCTGCTGTTGGCCCTCGTGCATCCGAGGTAAGATTTCTCAGAGTTCAATATTTCAATATTTCCCTTCTCCGCTGCTCCATGTAGACTGGACGATCTATTAAAGTGACTGACCCATACGTGAAACTTGTGTGTCTTCAGGGAGACTTGTGATCCGGTCCATTATCTCGCTGGGTTCGGGACTCGCACCATGGGGAGATTAGATGCGCTTCGGCAGCTTAATTTGATCAAATGGCTCCGAGAGGAGAGACAGTCGAGGAAACTGAGTCTGTTCATTGTTTTCGTCGCTTTGCTCTTGGATAACATGCTGCTGACAGTAGTCGGTAAGTGCCCTCCGTTTCACACCTCCTACATCTCTGCGAAGTAGTCTTTTATTTCATTTTCTATGCAACAGGTAACGCGGTGTAACGATCTGCCCAAATGTCTCAGGTTGACTCTCGGTTATAGCGCAGCGCACTGGCGCACAGATCAGCGCCTTCCGTGGATTTAAGTCCTCAGCAGCCCACTTTGGGTTCCAAACATGTGGTGTGTAACACATTAAGTACACTAACAACGTAATGTGTTTATGCCATGTTCGAGTGACGGGTCATCAAACTGAAACATGGATTTATTTACTTATTAGATTCAGTTTTGCGATTTAGCAACACTCGCTGGATCGGATTTGAGCTCATTACAGCTGAGATGTTACAACTCTTCATGTGATCCTCAAGGGATATTCCTCAATATGCCAATAGAATCTCTCTGCGCATTGTGCATCAACCTGATAGTAACAATAGCGGAGAACTCTGGTTAAGGACAGCAAACATTACAGTGCGTATAGATGAGTCATCCATCGTCCCATCGTTTCGTTATGTATTTAACACATAAACAGCAACCTTGTAAAAATACATTTCTTATTTACCCGCACGTGCCTGAAAGCACGCCAACATTTTTGCTGAATATTGTATTAAAACATGTTTCTACAGCGTAATGGGAGAATGAAAATTATTTAAAGGTAAAAATGAATTATATATCTTATTTATCATTTTTTATATATATATATATATATATATATATATATATAGTACTAGTATTTGCTGGATCACATAGTAATATAACACCTCACCATTCCTAGCACTTCCCCCTCATGCGCAGAACTCAAGCTATTTGCAAGTATTGGCAAAAAAGACTCATCATATTCCTCATATTGAAACATTTTCATCTTTTTGGAAGAATTTTATAGACAACATCCTGAATTTATACCAATTAAAGCACATAAATAGTATGAAGCAGACCGTGGCACTTGATGCAGAATTATTGATTTAATTTTATCATTGAAGATAACATAAGAAATACGACAACTGTCGGTATACGTGCAGCCATTAAAGTCATCAAAGTCAGTTTATATCATTTTGGAATTGTATGGATGCTCTGTGTAGTCCTTGACCAGATTTCAAAGTGATTATTTTATATATAAAATATTTAAGTTTATTATTTTCTTTTATGCAAACTGTAAACAATAGTTATGTGTTCAGCATGGTTATCATTAATTTCTTTACTATATTGATGATTGTTTCTTTACTATATTGATGAAGTAGCTATACTCTAGCTATACTGCCATGGCCATTACTTTATAGTAGAATGCGGTATTGGTAATGTGCGTGTGGTAATTGATAGGTTTGTTAGTTGAGAAGAAAAGTACATACAATATTTATTGAAAGGGTGTGGCTCAAGTATGCTTTTAAAGACTGTCATGTAAGGAAACACAACCAGTCAAGAGAACACAACCTAATTTGTATTTTCTTATATTTATAATATTTATGATTTAAATACCATGCTGCAATTTTCTCCCAGCTTCTTCCTTATCTCATTTTCTGTAACCACTGCTCCCTGATACCTCTGAAGAACCCTTCTTGTTCTCTGCTTACATGTTTTGCAATGCCATCTAGATTAGTATCGTGCTCCTGTCCTTTCATTGCACCAATTTATTTTTCCCTCTTTGCGCGCTAGTTCCAATCATTCCCAGTTACCTGTACAACCTGGACGAGTCAACAGACGTGACGGTGAAGAATAACACCCTGTCGCAGCAGGGTCCTCCAGCAGCCTTCCACAGCATTGTGTCTCTATACGACAACACCATAAGGTCTCCGGGCTCCAACGCCACTGTACGGGCTACAGACGTGGTTCCTTCGCCTCCCGCTGCTACAGGGCTGCCAGACAACTCCTCTGAGTGCCCCCAGTCTACCAGCAAGCTGCTCGATGAGAACGTCAAAGTGGGAATGCTTTTTGCCTCCAAGGCCACCGTACAGCTGATAACCAACCCCTTCATAGGGCCCCTCACAAACAGGTAAGGTCTTGGGTCTTGTGGTTTGTCATATCTTTTAACATAGAACTCCACTTAGTTTGTTGTTAGTGAATTATACACTGACTTTGTTGTGACCATGTGAGAGGACGGAAAGAAGAAGAAGAAAAGGAAGAATTATTTTATTGTTATCATATATTAATTATATAATTGATTTGTTTAAGGCAACAGAGTACGTGTATCACATTAGGAGGGGTTTACTTTCAGGCCACAGATGTTTCCTGATAGCCCAAGGCCAATATATGGTTGAGGCTTGGAAATATGGCCAGATATCAAGACCAAATAACGTTTATGGCGTTATCTTATTGTACATGTTGAGTAAGAATAACAGAGTCCCGTTTCAGGTATTAGAGCCAAACATAAAGGTTTGCTTATAATAAACAAATCCTCTCTAATGTTGTCTACAACAGATCCAACCGAATTCCTTATTGTGTATGATTGCATGTGTACTGTTTTCACGAAAGGCTTGGTGGGGTGATTAGATTTTGACTAACACAGCTGATGAGATGGCAACTTAGAAATAAATGCACAGCCTTTGCAAGGAAAACCGAATTAATGCATCTTTCACAGTCAAATTTGAAAGCAGGGAATTCTGAAAAAATAAAACCCCAATTCTTTATCTGAACAGGTTGATTGCAATAATTGTGTATTATTGACAACTGGAAAACCCAAAAGATAAACAAAGCTGGCGAGAAACCTAGAGTGGAATTCCAGGCAGAGAACCAAAAAGACTAGGTACTAACACCAAGAATTGCTGGAAAGCTTGACCTGGGTGACTGTTACGTCCCTCGACTGATGTCTAGGGGAGTCGGGGAGTAACAAATGAAAATAAACTATAAAAGAAGGAATTGTTAACCAAAAGAGGGATTTATTTCATAATAATTCCAAAAACATCCATAGCAGGTTCCAACTCAAAATCCTACTGTCCAACAGTAGAAACAAAAATGCCACCACAAACAAAAACCAGCACAATCGGCAACACAGCCACTTAAACACACTCTGCAAGTTGCACGCCTTCAACTCCCAGCTCATCCTGCTCTTCCTGGCTTTCACAGCCTTTTATTCCCCTTTTTCACCAATCAGTTGATTGCTTCCAGGGCCGCTTGGTAAGGGGTTTCACCTGGTAGTTCCAGTCAGGATGCCGAGCTACAGAGAGAGAGAGAGAGAGAGAAAGAGAGAGAGAGAGAGAGAGCGAGAGAAACCACCCGTAATAGTGACAAAAAAGAGCCAGCACAGAGTCAGGAAAACACACGGACAGGTGGGTGGGCAACAACCTCGGTGGGAAACACAGAGTCCCCAGAAATAACAACAGAATTCTGGAGTAAAAAAAACGCATTATACAAGGAGCAGGACGACATTAGAGTCCCCTTTGTAGCAAGAGGTTCACGATCGTTCTTCAGAGCTGTAACCCTCCCATACCACTGACTGCAATGGACCATCATCAATAAATCAGTTGGAGTGTAAATGCAAAGAGGATTCTCCTTGACTATTTCCATTCAGGCCATTAAGAAGGACCTCAGGGGTCTGGGGTCTCAGTCAAACTGCCACCGGATCAATCACGTCAGAGATGGGTTATGGCTACGCCTAGGTGAACAGCCAAACAGCCAAAGGGCGACTGTGGGTGAGTGGGGAGCACGGTTGTCCTCCAATCAGAGGGTTGTCTGTTCGATCCCGGGCTCTGCTAACCCGCATGTCGATGTGTCCTTGAGCAAGACACTTAACCCAACATTGCTCCTGTAGCTGCGACTACAGTGTGTGAATGGTAGTTACTGATGGCAGGTGTCACTGTGTATGGTTCTCCTGTCATCAGTGTATGAATGGGTGTGGATGGGTGAATGATGTCATGTAGTGTTAAAGCGCTTTGAGTGGTCAGAAGACTAGAAAAGCGCTATACAAGTACAGGCTATTTACCATTTACCTTCTGCTCAGGCTGCTAGGCAAATACAACCAAAATAAGGAGCCCTGTCTGACACCATAGCCAGAGATGGGCAGTATTTCTATTACTTGTATTTGAAATACGTATTTCACTTTCTTGGTAATTTGGTCCATAAAAAAATATTTTCGAGTGGAGTCATTTTGTATTTAAAATAATTTCTCCACAAATTAAAATAAAAAATCTTTAATCTTTAAGTGCAGCGGATTGTGTGTCAAGGTAAATATTTTATCTGAGTGACAGATGTCAACTATCTTGTATAATCTAACATGCTAATGACGATAGCATGCTGTCTAGGATAGTGCTAAACTAGTGTTTGGCAAGTCAAGTAGCTAGTGATAGGAAGAGGGAGATTGGGAGCCTTTGTGTTCATGATAACCTCATCAGAGACGTCTGATCATCTAACCTTGCACCATATTACAAGTTATTAGTTATCAACTACTGGCTTGGCGAACTGTGAACTATATTATCTGCCATGACAGTAGATGTCATTTGTTAAAAAAAACAATAAAATCAATTAAATATACAATTTTTTTAAAAGGCATATTATGAAAGTATTCCCCAGTTACACATGCAATTGGTCGGGTCGTAAAGCAAACAGACCAAGGTGACGATTTGGCCAAAACAAAGGCAGAAAAAACAGATGGGAGGTGAAGAAGATCGGGCACAGTTGAAACGCTATTGGGCGTGGGGTAGACCATAACACAAGTACAAAACAAAACAAGGAGACGCGAATTACACAAAATAAAACAGGGATTAATTGAATTGAAATATATCGTCGATGCATTTGTTTCAGAATTACCTGTATCAAAAGAACACAGATAGTCAGAAATGGATGGATCCAATCACAGTTTTTACAAGACACACTTGGTTGTTACTTGATGGTGGCAGAGGCTGAGGACAGAGGTATTGCTCCTGAGAAATCCAAGAAATATTGATTTTAACCACACAGGAATTTAATGGTGTACAATATTGAAAAAGTCACGGAGAACAAATATCTATAGGTACTTTGCTTAATGACTTATTTTCATTTAACACAGAGCTTTCCTTACTATTAGTCTTTTATTATAGGGATGTAGTCAACAGACATACGGCTGGTTCCTTTCTCAAATGCCTAGGATCAGTTTGTCATCCAGATCTCCCCATTGTTCACTGCTGACACTCATCATTGACTCTTAAACACTGGGCCGACCATACCTGACTCATTGTACTAACTTTCAGTGTTACAAGAGCTACTTTGAATTTGGAAAATCAAAAAGCCATGTCTGCGAAACATTCTCAAGATAGAGACTCTCACTTTCACACAGAGGATATCGCATCTATACAGAATGTAAAGCCCTCTGAGGCAGATTTGTAATTTGCAATTTTGGGCTATAAAATAAAAAAAATTAATTGAACTACACCTGGATGATTCTAGACCAATTTAAAAATCACTTTAGCTCAGCTCCCCACTCAGCGGGAAAATGTATCCTCTTTTGGTTTGATTTGTTCAATTCAGATTTTTTTTTTGTCATCATCGCAAATGAGGCAGACCTCAATCGTTTTCAAGATTTGCAAGAAATGATGAATGAATTTCTTAAAGCTTTCAGTTCCATAAAGGAAAACAATGTTCTCACGATCACCATCACGGCAAGCCTAATCAGTCGATTTTACCTCTGTCCGAAAAAACATAGCTAAAATGAAATTAATGTGTGACTTTCTTTTGTTATGTAAACTCAAATGAACGCTACTGTGCCTGCTGGGGGCTCTAATTGTTTTTTGGCTGCTAAAACGTTTGTCGCACAAAACCGTATACTTGCCTGTTAAAAATTGACTTTACAGCTTGGTTGTTGCCATTATTATAATATTGCTTCTTTAATGCACTTTCAGTCTGCAGCTTTTAGCCATAAATCCAGCGTCTTTAGGACTGTTAAAGAGTAAGGCCTGTACAAAAAGTGTCACCAGATAACTTCTTTTGTGTTCAGGAGATACATCATTCAAATGTTTCTTGACTTTTTTTCTGCAAGTTAAGCCTCCACATTCAGCACAGAGACAGTTTAAAGGTGTAAAGGTTTAGGGGAGGGTGGTTGCTGAAACATTACTGGCACACTCTTCAAACACAGCATTTAGTGTCTCAGATGGGACCTCAGAAATGCTGTAATTTGAGGCAAAAAATGTTCTTAGTCACCTTCTCCTGACAAAGGACAACACAAGGTAATTCAAGCATGTCAGATGTCTATGGGAAAATGGTATGGCAGCTTTTAGCATTTCACTAATGGGAGATGTTGTCATCCTTCTCCAGTTAATATGTCATGCTAACAAATGTAACAAGGATGCAAGGTTGTCATGTAAATTTCAAAATGATTTTATTTGTTTTTGCCATTACTTGACACCCATGTACTACTAGGTATATTTTGGCATTTTGATAATGAGTTGGTATTACTACATAGTTGTTTCACTCCCCTTATGCATACTTGATGTACAGAAATATCTGCCTCAAAGGCAGAATAATCTTTTTATTTGATAATCATCCACAACTCCTATCACTGCGTATAAGAGACGATAAATCGAAGAGAAAATTTCAGTTATGATCCATATTTGTCTAGAACTCAAAAACTAATTACTGTTTACAGTAGAAATGTGTATGTCTTTCTTTTTGTCCCTTTTAGAATAGGATATCAACTTCCCATATTCGCTGGCTTCTGTATCATGTTCGTCTCGACCATCAGTAAGTTCCAATCAACATATCATAATTATTAGACAATCTGAATTCTAGCCTCATGCCTAATGGCTTTCTTCATCTGTGTTTCTGTTGTGAAGTGTTCGCCTTCTCATCAAGCTACACTCTGCTGTTTCTGGCCAGATCGATGCAAGGTGTGGGCTCCTCCTGCTCCTCTGTGGCTGGTAAGGCCTCCTTTGCTCTATTTTTGTCACGTTAAGATCCCTGGGAACCAAAATGTACACAACTCAATTCCATTCATAATCTGGAAGTCTTTAATCAGATATTGGGGGAAAAGAGGTCAACTTGTACAAAACATTGTGAGAAAATAGTTACTGTACGTTACTGAGTGTAAAAGTCTGTGAATATATGAGTTTGAAACTTGTTACGGTCTGGCTCCTCGACCGTAACCAATGACAGAGGATTACAGCAATTAAGGTTTTTCAACACAAACAGGTTTATTCCATAAATATAAACCATACTTTTCAAAAGAAGAGACAAACAACATTTGTGGAAGGGATGCTCGTGGATCACAATGCCCCCAATTGCCTTCAGGACGAATGGCCGACAATGCATCAGGTTGGGCGTCTCTTAAAGGCTGGCTGCACTGGCCAGCTGCCTCCCAATCTGGTTAACGTTCTCACTCTACAGCCACCCAGGAACCTGCAAGACAGACACACACACACCAACGGCAGAGGCCCTGGGGCCGTCACACTAATTACAGTAAATAAATAAAGTTTTAAAAGCCATACCCTCATAACATTTTTCTGTGAACAATGAAATGTCCTCTGTCCAATGAAAGGATCTCTTGTAAGGTTTACCATCATTGGTATAAGCAGGTCGAACAAAATGTATTGTAAAGCTCCTTGTAATATGCCAGTAAGTGTCCGAGGTCCGCCAATTCCAACTGTTATCTGAGCTGAAAGGGAAAGCTCTTTCAAAGCCACCAGTCATAGACCGACAATATTCCAAATATAGCGTACACCTAAATTGCTATTCATTCTTTCAAGTGGCTCTTTTGTTGTTGTCTGTACATGTTTAGCTGCTACACCCGTGCACAGCAGTAAATTGCTTTGCTCCGTCTGTTTTTCCAAACTCCATGTACTGTAATGCACTGAAGCACATTGTACAACCCACAGCCAAACTATCCCTTTAAGGGACAAAGATGTCAGCTAATTGCTCTTTTTGACATTACTAGAACGTATGTGTGGGTTTTGGAATTAAACGTATTTAGGAAGAAATTATGAAGTCGTCATCATGATAGGAGCCACGTGAACAACAGAATGTATAACTAACACAAAAAAGTGTTTTGTAAGAAGGACCTGTCTACCTGTGTGTTTCAGGGATGGGAATGCTTGCAAGTGTGTACACAGATGATGAGGAGAGAGGCCATGCTATTGGGATTGCCCTTGGAGGTCTGGCAATGGGAGTACTAGGTGTGTATACATATATATTTACATATAACCGGGCGGCTCTGGCTCAGAAAGGTAGAGCGGAATATTGGCTGTGTGATCCGCAGCGCCTCCAGTCAGCATGTCAAATAGCTTCTAAAGGTTATCTGAGGATGTGTGAATGTGTCTGAAGTGCAGGCTCCTGTATGTAATAATTCACATCCTCATCCGGATGTATGGCAGCCCCTTCCGTCTCTGTGAGTGAATGCATGGGTGAATGCTGTTCAAGTAGCATGAAATGCTCTGAGCGGTCAGAAGACTTAAGGACAGTATCTGTATAGCGCTTTTCTGCCCTGTGTATGATTTACTGTACACAGTGCCAGCTGCCTACATACCGCTGTTGTCAGACCTGTGGGAGCAAAGGGTTAACCGCTAATCCTCTGGTTGAAGAAGGACCCTGCTCTCCATTGAGCCACGGTCGACCACTAGGAATGTGCTATTTAAATGCTAGTCTAATTACAATGCAGATGCTTTTGAGCTTTATTTAGTACTTTACTTAGCTTTACTAAGATAAAACATTGTAGATCTGCGCACGCTATTACAAAAATTGGGGCTCATGGAACTACCTCATTACCCACATGTTTGGTCACAACTGAAGATGTACTTTATTATATAATTTAATCTTAATCAACTAACAAGTTTTTAAATACTAACCTGAAACACAACATGTGCTGCGCTGAGTATAAAGTTAATCATTGTTTCTGTCACAGTTGGGCCTCCATTCGGCAGTGTGATGTACGAGTTTGTTGGGAAAACGGCACCTTTCCTTATTCTGGCATTCCTGGCTTTGTTTGATGGAGGTAGAGTTACATTGTTTCTTACCTCCAGACCAAGAACTGTCACTGTAGAAGGAATAATGTAGTTGCTTAAAATGAATTCATATTTTTGGAAATACCACCTGAAGATATCTTGATGCTATTAAAGGCTTAAATTACGTTGGTGCCCTGTGTCTTCACAGCTCTGCAGCTCATTGTGCTTCAGCCCACCAAGGTGGAACCAGAGGTGAGTTTGCTTGCCTTGATAATTCACTCCTGAACTTTATTTTAATTAACATAACCTTAATAGAACATGTTATTGACCCTTTTGTAATGGATATTAAATACAGGAAGTGTGAAGAGAAACAGAGAAGGTGGATGGCATGTAACAAACACATGGCTTACCACGGGGAGGGGTAGAAGGGTGGAGGCATTTGGGGAGGGACAAGGTGGGGGTTAAAAGATGATGGTCTGATGTGTCAGAGGGAGAGATACAGAGTGAGTAAATGCGTGTGTTGGTTTTTCTGGTTGTCATGGTGATGGATGTTGTGGTTCACACGCTAATCTCAAATGCCTAGTAAGTATAAACAAGGATTTCTGTCAACGCTACACGTCAAACAGGGGCCCAAACTATGAGTGCAATTCCAAAATTAGAGATATTGTGAAGGACCCAAAAGTCTGCTGAGCACAGAGATGAACTTTATAGGTCTGTGTGGTCAGAAATAATACTCTACCGGCAGTTTAAAAAACTCGTAGTAGTAGTGTTAGGGGTAATATCAGTTGTAGTAGTACTACTACTTGTAGTAAAAGTAGTATTTTAGTACCACCAGTAGTAGTAGAAGTATTAATAGCCGTATAATTACTAGTAATACTGTTACTAGAAGCAGTAAGAGTGGTATTTGTAGTAATAATAGTAGTAGTTGTATTAGTAGTAGTTGTTAACAAAACACCTTCATTCTGAGCTTCATATAAAGATACATATAATAATGAGGGTTTTATTTTGAAAATTAAAATTATGGGATTTGGGTGGGGGGCAGAGGTGTAATTGAAATGTTTGGCAAACACAAAGGTTATTAAATGAAAGGCCTCATCACAATTCATTCATGTTTGAATTCCCTTGAAGGCGCTTTAATTTTGAAATAATGGGATTGGGATTGGTGGCGAGCTACGGCATCAGCCCCATGTATCATGTCACGTATACATGCATCATGTATCTCATGTAGTTTGGTGTTTTTGTGCATTTGTCCTTCACAGAGTCAGAAGGGCACCCCACTGTTGACTCTAATGAAAGATCCATACATTATAATCGCAGCTGGTAAGAAAATAAGCACACTATGTTATTCCTCTTCAGAGAAGCATCAGTGGGATGTTGTGTTTCATAATGGTGCTATATATATATATATGTATGCATATATGTGTATATATATGTATGCATATATGTGTGTATGCATATATGTGTGTATGTATATATGTGTGTATGCAAAATGTGCATACAACGCTGGTTATGTACATTTTTATCAGCGAGGCAACATGCTAAGAAGACCAACCTTGCCAAAACCACAGCAGAAATAACCACCAAGCACCCAGCATATGAATCAGAAGTGCACCTTACCGTAGACGTTTTGAAAGACATTATGAAATGAGTCAGGTTTTTTTTAGCTACGTGCTACGTACAGTAGCACATTGTGTATGCGCACCAAAGCAATTTTAGCACTTTTTTTTCAGCTTACCCATTTTGGCTGAGTGGCTAAGGAGGCTGCCGATCATTTCCGCATGGGTTTAGTTGGATTCAATAGAATCAGACAATTCTGAAAAAGGATGTTTTTTCGGCTGGTATTTGAATGTTTTATAGGACTAAAAGGGCTGTTAGTGATTTTATTTCATGCACTTTGTTAAATAATTTTACGTTATATAATAATAATAGTACGTTTTTTATAGCGCTTTTCTTTCTTGTGGGATATATCGATTTATTTCTTCAAACAGCCGCAGAATGGAAAAGTTAAGCACTGTGAAGACTTTTGTTTGTCCGTATTTTGGCAGTGATAATGTTAGCTATCTTTTGCTAACGCAACAGTGAGTGTGATTTAAAAAACAGCGGAAGGGAAGTGTTTCCTAAGTGGACACTAGTGAAGTTGACGTACGGCCCAAGGTCAACTTGTTTTATATAAATGTTACAACATCAAATCCTTTTAAATACACAAATTGGTGGATTTCTGTAACCTTTACAGTATTTACAAGAAACTTGTTTTATATTTGTATATGCAAATATTTGTGAATTTCTTTTCTTTATACATGGATTTTGTTTACATTCTAATACCAATTTGAGTGTGCATTTACCCAAGACAGCAGTACAGTCTAAACTAGTAAGTAATGCGAGTCCATTGAAAAAATTCAGATAATTAATTATGGAACTGAAATCATAGAAATGATTGCACCAAAAATCCTATGTTGTTACATCCGGTCAGGACTCAATACCTTACGTAGAGCTTTTGTTGAATTTTTGAGTTGAATATACCCCTCATCAGACTTCAGGTTTCAACCTTCCTCCAAGATTTTAGGGGCCATCCTGCAAACAGGATCTTCTTCTAGGTTTTCCCAATTCACCCGCACTGTCAGGGTTAAACATCTGTCCATCAGTCAAGGGTTAAGCAGCTATCTCAAACCTATGATATAGATCAATTTTAATTAATCGTCAATCAACATCAATCTTTGGCACAAGTCTTCAGAATGTTCATCTACGCTCTCACCTCAACTGTGTGGATTTATATAAGACATTCCTCTCATTTATCACGTCAAAGATTATGCTGTGCACTTGCACCTCAGTCCATCAACAGAACTGTTCCAAAATGGTGTTTTCTCCTTGATGTAACTCTTAAGGCCAGATATTTAGAACTGCTGTTGAAAGCACAGAGCCCAGCCTCTGTCTACTAGTTTAATGATTAAGCATTGTGCATAAAAGTGGTTTAAAGACTGTGTGTGACGTGCCCGTTTGTTATCAGTCAGTCTTCCCTTGAACTCCAGTGTTTGTCTTACACCAATTTAAAAGGCTCCATACAAGATCCAATGGATGAAAGCCAACGTAGTGCAAACACCTTGCACTCACCGAGGCTAATATTGTTGACAATAAGATCACTCTCACAAAAAACATGCAGGAGATCTGCCCTGCAACAGAATTCAAACTGCAAAGTCGCCTCCCTCCTCAACTAGGAAGCACAAGCTCACATTGTAACCCAACACATTGGATTGAATGGGTTCCACTAAGGTCTAAGTAAGAACAGGCTCTCTTCACCTCTGGCTCGCTGTGTCATTGACGGCAGAACAATATTAATATCTGTGAATAGCTTTCAATTGGAGTAATGAATACTGCTTGACATAGTGGTCTAAGAATTAAAAGTACATTTTATTGGCAATTGTAACAAATAACAAAGATGTTGTGCTTTAGGTGGTTCAAGTCCCAATGGAAAATAACTTTAATTTGCAGCACATCCCACAGTTTAAATGTACCAGTATGTCCCATCATATTTCATCACACGAATGATGACAAATGTGACATCAAATACCTCACGGGTATGCTAGTACAAATGTATATGGCGGGAAATATAGATATACATTTGGTGCTAGTTAGCTTTCAAATCATGTCAATTACTGTTGCAACAACAAAGAGTACAGGCTGTGTTTGTATGTGTATCTATGTGCAGGTGGTGGAGGATGAAGAGGTACCAAAGACCAAAAACAGACCATAATTGACATTGTTCTCAATCTTCCTCTCAAGGTGCCATTTGTTTTGGAAATATGGCCATTGCAATGCTGGAGCCAACGCTGCCCATCTGGATGATGGAGACCATGTGTGCCAGGAAATGGCAGCTAGGTAATTAATGGTTCTCGCTCATATTAGGCATTATATAATGATCTATCCCAAATTTAGGTCATTAGATTTGGGCTGAATAAGAAAACAGTGTTTATATTTTTGAAAAGACAAAATAATGAATGAAGTATTAAACTGCAAACATGTCCACCCTGTAATACGGAGAGAAAACTATCATATTTCACTATTCTAAAAAGATACTTGAAAAATACTTCTATTGCTGAGGGTCATTACTCAGTTTCTGTGATTGTTGTTTCATACCTTTTACTAAATCTTTTGTAAATGAATGCTACATTTTCACGTCAAATACATCAAATCTTTAGTTGGTGACCTGATGCAGTTCAACCGCTTCCTTCTGCTAGATATTTCTTACGCAGAAGCTCCCTGCAGTCTCTGCTGTTATTGGTTTGTTCCAGTTGGTTGTATATGAAGTCTAGGTCAGATAAAAGGGGATGAGTGGAGAACAGGATATTAGGATGCCATGTGCTGGCAGGTGGAAAGCAGACAATGGAAGATGTACAGCAGCTCGGTGATGAGGCACTGATAAAGATCTGCTTATCATGGAGAGCCTGCCCCCACCTTCATATCTCACGTCACCTGAGTTTGTGTGTGTGTGTGTTGCCCAGGCGTTGCTTTCTTACCGGCGTCCATCTCCTACCTTATTGGAACCTACATCTTCGGCACGTTGGCGCACAAGATGGGGAGGTAGTGAGAGAAATAACCCTTATCTACCCTCTCTCTCTTTCTTCTCTCTCTGTCTAGATGTGATATCTGTTTCCGCTCCTCTAAATTAGTTTTCAGTGTTTTTTATGTTTGTGAGACTGGCTTTGTTGATAATGCAGGTTACAAAGAGCCTTGGGAGCATGATGTGATGATGGTAAAGCGAGACCGATCGGATCCATGGGAATAGTTTCGAACACTATGACATAGTCAGTGGCTCCACTCAAATCAAATTGGGAATTTGGATCCATTATGAATAATATGAAATGATTTGTTCCATTACATCAAGTTTTTGTAAATGTTGTATGATGGAGGACTTGAATACACTTAATGACAATGAACTTTCTTCCCACAGTTCTCTATAGTTACTTTACTGACTACATAATTTAGTAATATAGTCTTTAAAGCGTTGCGTAAGTTGCAATGCTTCACCATAGACCCTCCCTTATGGAAGGGACCATGTGGTTCTGTCAAATAAATCAAAGCGTTTTAAGTATATCTGTATAAACTGAGAGGAAAGGGAGAATGTTTGGAAGTCATGATAGTGATATCCAATGAAATTACAAATAAAAACACCTTGTTGGAAATACCCTATCTCCTTCTCTTTAAGCCAAACATGTCATCAGCTTCACATTAATCCAATCATGGATGGACAATATTAAATAAACATTGTTTATAGAGATTTGTTAACCACACATTTATTCACAGCTATCCAAGCAAAACCTTTGGTTGGTAAACACAACTCTGTCCACTTAAGCGTAATGAGTTGTGTTGCAAAGCATAACCAAGGTAGAATATAGTGTTAAGCCTAGATAGACACGTGAGTGTAATCTGCATGCAAAAGTAAATTGTACAAAGTAAGACAGTGACAAAAACAAAGTAGACAAAGAAGTAATTCCCATTAAGCGTTGGAGTGTAAGTTTGAGCAGATAACACTGACTTGTCTTCTCTCTCACAGATGGCTTTGTGCTCTTATTGGAATAACCGTTGTTGGAATCAGTGTAATATGTGTAAGTATTAGTGTGAATTCATATTTCCTCTATGGGATGTATACAAACTGTTAACTGATAACTGAAGTCTAAAGAACATTAATATGGTGTGTAAAAAATAATATTGTAAATACGTTCATCAACCAGTGGAGACACAGCAGTAGATCCTTTAATGTGCTGTAATGAATGAGGTTCATTTTCTCCAAACTGTTATAATGTGGGGAAAAAAGCATTGTTGGATTGAACCAATGTTTTGACATTAGCGTGTCCGGGTTAATTAAACAACCGCGGCTGTTAATGTGTTAGATTGTCACACTAAATTCAAAAAGCAACAAGCATCTCTTCGCTATCGAAGCGTTAGTTGTTTACTTTCACATATAGTACAGAGGAATGTATCTTTGTCTCTATTCCAGGTCCCACTTGCCAAAGACATCTACGGTCTGATTGTTCCAAACTTTGGTGTTGGTTTTGCTATCGGTAGGTCTGCTGAAAGTAGTACTGCGCTAAACGTACATCCCCCTGTGAGTGTGTGAGTCATTGTCTGTGGTGTGTAACAGGCATGGTGGACTCCTCTATGATGCCTATCATGGGTTACCTGGTGGACCTGCGGCACGTGTCTGTCTATGGAAGTGTGTATGCTATTGCCGATGTGGCCTTCTGCATGGGATTCGCTTTAGGTAAGTAGACTTTGACAAAATGCTAAACTAATCTAAAGGTTATGATACTGCTGAAGTGAGGTTGAAAACAGACACAGAGAGTCCAATCACTGGAAATAATTTCATTATCTTTTCTGTCCAAATTCAATTCTGGTTTCAATGTTAGTACAATAATCATGTGAGTTTTGCCATCACTACAATACTCTTCATCCCTCTCTATTGTCAGTTTTGGATGTGATGTGTTTCATGCATGGTGACTTTTAAAAAAGGAGCTTGTGACTTCACAGGAAGGTATGTTTGTGCAACAAAACCCCTCATGATGCTTTCCGACCGCTCAGTAGATTTCACTAGATATTCAGACATGTTAGGATTCCAAAATGCTCAGTTAATAGGTAGCTATGACCTGTCTAGGGAAGAACTGAACAGCGGCTCTTCACTTCGACACATACTGACAAGCGAGATCACCCATTAGTTAATGTGCCTCACTGGAGTGCTAGCATGGCGACAAGCTAACCATATATGTTACTATGTGACTTCAAGGTTCAACAGACAACGATGAGTATTGTTGGTAGCTGTTGATAACGTTGCAGGAATTTTGTCGGGGGCAATTCTCAGAGTTGTCCAAGTTGTGTTTGGGAAAAGAGCGTGGTGGACATTGACTTGGCTCACTTCATTGCTCTACGAACTGCAACAGTGTTTAAGGCAGCAGAAGTGAGAACAGAAATGTATTTTGTGTCAATTGTTTTTTAGCCACGGTTGTCGTAGTTTACTATTTGTAATGATGAGGGAAAAGTAGTTTTTCCCCTTTTCAATAATACTTTTTATTATGTATAAATATCCAACATAGATATTATCCTGGTTGCTAAAAATGTAAAATTAAGCCATTTTTGTTAATCCTGCTATATAACCTTTTATGATGAATAACCCTAACCCTACCCCAACATTACATAGACATTACTCCATTATTACTACGTTATCACTGGCATTACATAACATCTCAGTACCCAACATGTTACAAGGTTACTGCCTTGATACCCTTTGTGCCAAATAAACTGGACATGTTCAATCTGGTTATCACTCCCAATGCGCAGCCGGCTCACTGCTCCTTGGGGGACGACTTTCATTCAGTTGGGTTTGTGGTTTGAAGCTCAGAAGCACGAACCACACATCAGCGTTTACCTGTTTGCAACCACAAGCCAATCAATAGAGTATAAACAAGTGCTGCGTCTCTCCCCGACTCCTGCAGGTCCATCCATCGGAGGAGCCATAGCTGAGAGCATCGGCTTCCCCTGGCTGATGACCATAATCGGGATAGTGGATATTAGCTTTGCTCCTCTCTGCCTCTTCCTCAGGAATCCACCAGGACAAGAAGAGAAAATTGTAAGATCCAAAAAGCACTTTAAAAAAAGTCAATCAAACATAAAAAAAAAAAAATCAACATACTTATGAAAATGTTCTCGTTTGGATGCATTGATCGTTTTGGATAGATGATAAATTGTACAACTCCTAGATTTTTGCATGGCCTCAGTGACAATGTTGTTGATGAAACACAATCTTTCAAACAGATGTGCACAGAGCAATACACTTTGAGAATGTTTAATCTCACACAACCAAAACACATTAAGGTACCTATAAAACAATATGTAACCCTGGATTTCCTTTGGAGAATGTCAGTTGGCATTAATGAATGAATGCGTTAACACAAGAATAATGCATTTAACTCTTTAACAGCCCGTTTGGATGCATTTCAACATTTCTACTCAGGGCTTCTCAGGAACACAGATTTTTTATTTACAGACTTGACTGAGAATGAATGACCTTCCATCATTGGGCGCCATTTGGCTGCGTGCTTATGACTGAGGCCCTTAATGTTGCAGCTCCATTCGTCTGCCTTTCTATGCTTTCTATTACTTTGTCCCCATGGAGCATCTGCTTTCATCCCCCGCTCTCCTTTATTACATTTGATTTGTATTCTACACCTGTATGCATCTTAGTGTGATTATACAAACAGAATGGGTTACCCAATATTTCTCTTTAGCATTTCTAGGGGGGAAAAAACTTGTGACACCCCGTGCTTGAATTAAACGATTAGTCAGAGCTGCAACTTAATCCACATAATCAGGGCCATGTGTTTTTCTGCGTATTCAATGGACAGCTGCATAAGCACAATATAATGAATCCTGATCCCTCATGTTTGGAAAAAACTCCAGCGATACAAAACACGATAAAGACCAATTCATGCTGGCTTAGAGTTCAAGAAATGTACTTTCATTTAATCGCCCTGTAGCTTTGTAGTTCCAAGTGATGAGTTGTCAATGTTTTATGGAACCTAAATTTAAGTGAAAAAGGAGGGGGGGATTTCTGTGTTGTAGCAAAACGTTTCACTCAACAAACCCCTTTTCCTGTAATTCTCTTTTCAGGCTATTTTGATGGATACTAACTGTTCAATGAAGACAAGGTCCTACTCCACACAGGGGACGTACTACCAGGGTGAGAACATGGATCCAGAATATGATGATTATGATTAACAGGACACCAGCCATGCAGGTTAACCCTTCAGAGGATCTATTTTGTTGTACAAAAAAGGAACACAGAAGAAAAAAAACAGTAATTTAACATAACAGCCAAGATATTTCCATGTGACTGTCCCGCATTCTGTCTTCACTGTTCTTTGTCCTCTTAAAAGTTTTACTGGAGCAAACCGAAGGTGTTCTTGATCTGTGGTTGCAAGTGCTTTGTGTGAGAGATTTGTTTAGCCAACAGCCTTATTCAGTGGAGAGATTCGTCAAAAAGCTATTTTTAGTTAGTAGAAGGGGCGGAGCAACATGTTCCCTTTACTGGTTTATTTTGGATACAAATCTTTCTTCATTTATGTGTTCGCTATTAAAAGTCTCCATGTTGTCCATGATACTGTCTACAATATTATTAACAGACCGTGATAATATGTTCTGTTTATTGGAAGACTTGTTTGTCCGATGTATAGTCCTGGTTTGCATCGATGCAGCTACAGAAGTTTCTTAGCTCAGCTGTTCTGGCTGAAATGCTTGGTAATGTCAACAGAATGAGGAAAGTGTCCTAAAACAACACAAATTTCCTCCTTATAAAAGCTATAGAACTTTGCATTCTGGCAACTTTGGTTAATACAATCATAATGTAATCGTAATGTTTTTATTTAATAAATCATCCATACTGTAAATTCTCAAATAGTGGCCTTTATTTACCTCATCGGAAAAGATGACCAGGCCCAGAACAGACTTTTATTAGGGATTCAAAACTTTAACTTCTGCTATCTATGGTCATAAGCCTCTATCAAGTACGCACATGCATTTTCCACAGCAGCAATTCCATCAATTGACGGTAAAAGTCAACGTCATGTTATACCACCAGTACACTGGACTGTGTCTGCAAGAGTGTAACATTTGTAGCAGAAATACTGTTTATATTCAAAACATTTTCACATCCAACTGGTAAAATACAGATGCCTGATCAGTGGCCCAAACTTTGAACTGACTCTAGCAAGCGATGGCCGGTTGGAAAGGATGGCATGTCAGTTTCTGCTGTTCACGTGCACGGCGTCTTCTTCAAATTAACTACAGAAACACAGTTTAAGCTTGCATGAAGCTCTTTTCAAAATACCTTTACAACATGGGTTTTGAGGTTTATTTAGGAAACAAAGTTACATTGTTAGATTCAGAAGATCACGCTTACACTAAAGTCTGTTTGTGATGTAAAATATCAGTTGTAACAGAACCGATGTTAGTAAAGTACATAAGTCCCCCCCCCCCCCCCCCCAAAAAAAAACCCACATTAAAATAAGTCCACGCTAGCTTAGTTTTTGCACGGGACATGAAAAGCAGCTTCCTGGGGGACAGTCCTCGGTTTGCCTCATAATACACATAGTTTATATAATGCATTGGAAGCCTATGACACCTCAGGAATGGGCAATTTAAGACAAAAAAAAGCGAAATCAAAAGCGAAGTGTCATGGCAATTTTCTCATAACTCCTAACTTTTCTCTACTAAAGTTTTCCGAATGAAGATTTCAACGTCTGTCTTGATATTTTGAGATGTCATCGCACCATAATTTGGAGGAAAAAAAAAATGTTATTGTGGTTATACAAATGTAATCATTGGTGCTGTTAGATTGCTGCTGGACCGTGCCTGGCTTTGTGTGTAAAAAGCTGTGACACCAACAGTTTCTTGATAAAAACATGTTGTGAATCTTAGGAACAAATGCTTCTACCTTATTTAATACATTGAGTTTTGTACCAAAGACGGACTATTAGAGACAAATACAGAGAGCTACCTCGCTCGCTGTGTAAGAAAAAGAATATGTACGTCAACGCTGAGAATGACTCTGAACTACTCTGAACAGCCTTACATGGCGGTACGTCCAGCTTGGACATACGTCACAAGCCCAACATACGTCATCTTGCAAAAGCATCTCCTTTAACAGTAGGTTGCTCCTTGATTTCCTCTCTATATGAAGTGTCGCCGTTGATTGTAATCCGGTTTAGGATGCTAGTGTCCCCTGCAAACTTCTTCACAGAGTTGTCTTCGTTGGGGGCGTTCAGCGTGAACAGGAGGGGGCTAAGCAGCCCTGGGGTGCTACTCTAGTGGAGACATTTTTACTGCCGATACAAACTGCCTGAGGCCCGTTTGTGAGAAAGTCTAAAAAGTAGAGTGAAGTTTGACAGTTCATCACTTGTGGGCACTAATCATTTAGACTGGACACTGCACTGTTCAGATAGAGGGACGATGGTGGTCGTCTCAAAGCAGGTAGAAACAGTAAAACAACAAAGAGTGCTGTTGTTGTTGTTGATGTACCTTAATAGTTGCCAGCTTTCAGTCTCTCTGGCAGTACCGTATGCCTCCTTGTCACCTGACAAAAGTGGCAGGAGCATTTTGATTGACAGCTCAATGGCTCTACCCATTGGCGACCGATTGGGGAGGTGTCAGTGTTTCTTGGCAACGTTGACACTTCCTGTGTGTTTCTGCCCCAAGCCATCATGTTATTACTGACCTGTTTCCACTTCTATGGGTATAGTCCACATGTTATCTGTGGAAAAGATGTGTTGCCTCATGTGCTTCGTAGTGTATCACATTTTCCTCACATCTATCGAGGCAGTTCTGCTTTGTCAACTGTATTTCTGAATAGAGTACTTTTAAACTGTATTCTATTCGCATTGGCTTTCTTCAATATGCATTAAAGGAATAGTTTTTTTGTTTTCGTGCTGAGAGTTAGAGGAAAAGATTGATTGACTTTTAAGTAGCATATCAGAGCGTATTGTGTGTCTATACTATTCCAACCAAGAATTAAAAGCTTCTCACTGTCAAGAAGCTGAGATGTAGCAGTCTGATCCCTCTAATGATCTGTTGGTTATTTCAAATGTATCACACTGCAATTTTTCATACTAAGGTTTTTTTTTAAGACACTTAAACTTTTTATGAGTTACAGGATGGCCAGGCTGTTTTTCTCCTGTTGCAGTATAATATTCAAATATTGCATTATTTTACTGCCAATACCGATGTTTGCAGTTGCATACATTTTGTCTTTAAGATGATTACTCAATTACTAATTATTCTCAATTATTCTTGTACTGTGTGTTTACTGCTGTAGTCATGATTGAGTGGGAAACAGCCATGCCATTATTATAGAAAATAGTTTGTCCCCATTTTTAAATCTTTGTTTTTTTGCTAATAGGATAATACCGTCAAATTGTATGAGATTCATCTCAACCCATAACATTATTTCCCCGTTTACCTTTCAAAATTAGTTCTAATATATTCATTAGAGATTCTAAGATTCCAAATATTTGTAAAATTCTAGAATACAAACTTATATTTTAAAGACTGTTTCAAATGTAGTAATATTTCAATGTTTTGTCACTTGTAGATTTTTTTTTTTCCCTCACATTTGTGTGGGTTGTGAATACTACTTGACTGTGTTGGTAATATGATTATAGAAACACTAACCGGAGAATTTAATTCATAAATCTAAAGTCTGAGTCCAACACACCATCTCGTCTCGTGTGTAGTTTCTAACCCAAACATCTACTGCAAATATTAAAAACATGTGGTATGTGAGACTACCTACATGTGTTTCATTGCCTGGATGTTATCTTATTTATCTTCAACACATGGGAGCCCTATATCCTCTATTAAATAAGGTGTGCACTGGAAAAGCAGTTTTCTTTAAAAAAGATGCATGAAATAATATAAACAGATTTTCAGCACCATTTTGTTTTGGTGCATTGAAACACTGAGCATTCACTGAGGGGGGATTCCTCTCAAGTCGTTTTCAAGTTATTTAAGGTACCCATGAAAGTATTCAAATGCTATGAAAACATGAATGCTTTTCAGTTGGGGACCAGAAATTCTGATGTTGATTGCCTGCACTTGGTGGTGGAAGACAGCAGAATGAGTTGCCACTATGTGGAAATGTGAGTGCAGACACACTGTAATCAGCCTGCCCATCTTAACGCTGGGCTCCAATTACCCTGCGCATCCTCATACTCTACCTTCCCTCTTCCCCCCTCCATGAAGAACCCAAACAACTGTGGTTCTTCATTGAATCACATAAACGCTTATGAAGGAAATTAGTATGCAATGTAATCAAATACAGTACAAGTCAAAAGTTTGGACATGTCTTCTCGTTCAATTCGCATGGAGTAGAGTGGATGCACCAGGAAGCGCAAGGCTGGCGGTTCGGGTCCTGGCTGCCCCATGTCGAAGTGTCCCTGAGCAAGACACCTAACCCCTATTGGCTCCCTGGGCAAAAATGTAAAAAAGCCATGGGTTAAAAATGCAACGTGAGTTGCTTTGGATAAAAGTGTCAGCTAAATGACCTGTAATGTAATGTAGGTTCAAGTGTTGTGGCTGCGGTGGTGATCAGACTGAGCCTTTAGTGTTTCTGTGTCAGCAGATCAAAGCACAAACCACAGTGATGGGAATTCATTTGCACTTGTTTATTTAAGTTTTGTACAATAAAGCTTCATCACATGAGCCGTTTGAAAACTGTGTGCCACATCCCTCGCATACACCAGAGAGACAAACACCATCCCGTCCTGCTCAACGTGGTGACCAGTCCTATTGTAAATGCAGTTTCAAAGGTTACGGATGGGGGGGCCGAAGCATTTGATTATGCAATCTGTGGGACAGCGTGTTGTAACAGATACAGCAGCAAAAGCAACGGCTCCCGGGCCAGAGGAGGGGTTTACTCTGGGGTGCTCATTGGTCCCCCTCGGGTTACACTACCAGACAGATGGGCACACACACACATGTGTCTAAAGGAAAACGTAGAGAAATCACAGATGTGGAGGGTCATTCCTGATTATCAGCTTAAATTCCTACAAAAGTATTGCACAAAAATATGGATAAACAGGGACAGAGAGAGATTGACAAGTATAGCAGCCAGCAAGCCAATATCCACATTAGCAACATACCTCTCACAGAAAATAACAAGAAGTGAGCGTCCGTTTCCTCTAAATCGGACAATGGCGGGAAAATGCAGCAAAGTAGTTTAAAATTACTCAACTTAATCCAGCGTCATCTGACAAGGTGCTGGTCAATCAAACATTTTCTAGAAAAAAATTCAGGCATACACCGAAAGCAAAGATCTACTCTTCCTACCCTTAGTCGTCAGGACCAAAGTGCAAATGACTGCTAATGTGATAACTGTCTAAGCTATTCAAGCGCTTTCCTTTGAGTATTTACCGCTGTGTGTGTAGCATTCTAGAATTCCATCTATTGCCGTTATGACATTTATTTATCCTATTTTTTTCTACACAGGGCGGTTTTTGCCAAGTTACTTTGAACTTTAAATTGACCCCTCACTGGATTTTCAGTCCTTACCCTTTACATGTTGAACATCATGAAACAATTCTCACCAACTGACCAAAACCTGCTGTTGACACTAAGAAAGCCTGAAATCTCCATCAACACGAACTCAAAACAAACTCATTTCAAAGCGCGGCAGAAATGTCATGTAAAAAAAAAGAAAAAGAAAAGACATAACCCCCATACAAATTGTTTTGAAGATTTTCCAGGGTAGATTTCTTCCCAGTTATGCAAGAGAGACATAATCCCTCCTCATAAACAATCTCACCTTTTGCTCTCTGCAGATGAAAATAATAAATGAACCGCGTAGCATCTTGGAGGTGGTCATGATAGAAACACTAACAGGCTACATTAATTC